TCAAGATGATCTTGTTTTGCTTGCAATTATTGGCATAAAGGTACATGTTGCAATATGGTCGAGATTATCATATATCCCACTTGTTTACGATGACATCCTTATTTATCACACCAAGAATGATGTTCTACTAATGGCCTTGTGAGACGCAACTAATTTACTCAATTCACTTTGTTGATTTATGTAATCTAGTTTTGCTTCACTTGGCTCTTAACATTTATATTTACACAATTTTGTTTCACTCAGCTGCTGAACATTTACATTTTCGCATATAATTGAATTTTATTTCAGACTGTTATGATTTATATTTGCATGCTACCTTGTATATAAAATTATGCAGGACCCATGTCGTCCAGGTGTGAGAGATGCTGTTCGACTGTGCCAAAATGCTGGTGTTAAGGTATTTTTGCTTGTCATGTTTTAACCCCTGCGTGATTGATATGCTATCAGTTATTTGTTGTATGACGCTGCAATTTCTTTTTTGCTCTCCAACCTTTTATGTATTATAAAAGCTCTGTTGGATTCATTCTTCAGCATGCTGAATGCTGGTTTCTGATAACTTTGAACTTGTATTAATTCTGGTATGAACGATTACTTTGGAAAAACAATTTGGGATATACATAACAGATTTATTTTTCCTTTAGAATTTCTGAACTACATATTTTAGGTCATTATTTATTTATTTATTTTCTAATTTTTGTGTGCTTGTTTCCTTTGAAATTACTAAGCTTTTGATATCTTGCTCTATATTGATCGCAATGCTCCTATGTCTTGGTCTTTCCCATCTCCTAGAGAGTCAAGTCATTGTGATATTTGATGCTCAGCTAGTTTATATTTCTCTTTCTACTTTGCTTTGTTTTCCCTTCAATATAAAAATAGTTTGATTGAGTTGAATATAAGTGTTATCTAGGTTTTAGTTTTGAATGTTAATGCTGTTCATTCTTTTATGCTTGCAATTTGGAAGATTGTTGCTATTGGGTCAAATATAATTCTATATTTGAGAGTTTTCTCAAATTAAGGGGGAAATGCATTGAAACAGGTTTTGGTTCCTAAGATAGATCATGCTTTTATTTCTTCCACACTTAAAATATTTTAAAGCAGCCAAGGACAACTTATTTTGTTCATAAACTTTAGCTATAGTTTTGCTGGGAGGTGATTCTGAAAGTGTGGGAAATTCTTTTCCTCCTGAGCGCTCTCTCTCTCTCTCACATGCAGTCTTTATAAATTTACCTTTTGAGAGCATGAAATTGGTCCTGATAAACAACACGAGATCTCTATTGACCTGCAAACATAAATTGGTGGTCAAGAAGTTTAAGTGAAGGGCAGATTACTTTCTATTTCCCTGGTTCCTGTTACTGGGGATGTTGCTGGGTCTTGTTGGGAAGTCATCTGAACTTCTTCTAATTAATGTGTTACTTGCAGACGTTTTTAGCCATCAAGATTCTGTAATTGTATGCATCATTTAAACAAAATAGAACATTATATGGTTATGATTGAGAGAGTTACAATTACATGAAGTCTAGTGTTACAATTTTATTTTTGTATCAAGTTGATGCCATTCCACAAGTATGAGTGTTGAATCTTAGGCCTTTCTTCATTAATACATGCTTATTTGATTATGCCAGGCATTGAAATAATAACACGGAACTTTTGTACATAGGTTCGTATGGTAACTGGTGACAATCCTCAAACTGCAAAAGCAATTGCTTTGGAATGTGGGATACTGAATTCAGAAGAAGATGCTGTGGAGCCTAATGTTATTGAAGGAAGAGTGTTTCGTGAATATACAGATCCAGAAAGAGAAGAAATCGCAGAGAAGATCTCAGTAAGAATTAATTGTCTCCATTTGTTATTAGTTTTTTCTGTTTTTGTATATTTGCAGATTGTCTAAAACTTAAAAGAGCCAAATTTCTTAGAAAACATGTGCTATTCAAAATCTTTTAGGTGATGGGGAGGTCTTCTCCGAATGACAAGCTTTTGCTTGTGCAAGCATTGAAAAGGAGGGGACATGTTGTTGCTGTAACTGGAGATGGAACAAATGATGCTCCTGCATTACATGAGGTTTGACTTCTTTTTTTAATGCTGTTACAATTGTTCCATGCTTTCAAAGAAAGAGTGCCACACAGTTCATTTGGAGGAAGTTTGGTGGAAGTTTAGAATTCAAAATGCATCTGGAAGTTAGGGTCCTATATCTGAGGCATTTCTCCTAACTGGTTCCTTTTCCTTAAAATGTGTGGCGACCTTTCATTATCTGGTCGGTGATTTCAAGTGCTATTTTTTTTTTCACAAAACAGTGGCTTTGGTTAATAATTTCAATGTTTGGTTTTCTAACAAAACAAATTTGAATTGGTTTGGGTTGAGATCTTTGCTTAAGAGAATAGTGCAGAGCCCTAGTTTTGTTATGTTTCTGTATCAATGGTTCTTAATATTATTATAATCAGTTATCTCTTTTCACAAGGTACTCTGACTTGCTACATTGCTATTATTCATTTTTTGAGTTCAGGCAGACATTGGTCTCTCAATGGGTATTCAAGGCACAGAAGTTGCTAAAGAGAGCTCAGATATCATAATTTTGGATGACAATTTTGCTTCAGTCGTGAAGGTGGACACTGTTTTCAGCTAATTTAGTTTGAATTAGAATCCTCGCTTTTTTATGCTATTGCAGGACATCAGATTCTTCAAAATTATGTAGATCAAGGTCTTAGGCCTTTTGTTGCTACTCACTACGACCATAGACTAACTAAATATTATTGAACGCCCAAGTTGATAAGCATTTTAGGGCCAAAGTTGTGCTATTATTATTTCATTCTTTTTGAAAGTGCAAGTTTCAATTATTTTAAATGTCTCCTTAATGCAGGTTGTCCGTTGGGGTAGATCTGTATATGCAAATATCCAGAAATTTATTCAGTTTCAGCTCACAGTTAATGTTGCAGCTCTCATTATAAATGTTGTGTCTGCAATGTCTTCTGGTGAAGTCCCATTAAATGCAGTGCAGGTATTTTCACTCCTAGTATCACACAACTAAAAAAGGTTAACTGTTTCAGTTAGTCTGTTTTCATGCTAATGTTTCTATCTATTAATACAGCTCCTTTGGGTTAATCTTATCATGGATACTCTTGGAGCACTGGCACTGGCTACTGAGCCTCCAACAGATCACCTGATGAATAGATCTCCAGTTGGTCGCCGGTAAGAAATGCTACGTTGGTTGGCACCTTGTTGGTGTGTAAAATGTTGAAAATTTTGAAACTGATCTCACCTTTTCTATGCTTGGAACAGGAATACAATGAGTTGAAAATTTTATTTGAAAATGTTTTAGAATTGTTGGAGACACCATGTTGATTTATCCAAGCATTTTATGCCTGGGATATTGGATGTATGTATGTTACAACTAGTGTATCATCTGGTCTTCAGAGGAGTAGATGGCTCTGTTTTAGTTCGATTCTTGAACCTGATTCATGGCTTACCCTTACTGCAATTTCAAACCTTCCTACCTCAGCCTTAAACTCAGCCATTTGTTTGCGTTTTGTTATTATTAGATAACTTGTGTGAGTAGTAGTATATATTTCCTGTAAAAATGCTGGTGCCTTTATTCTATAAGGATATTTCCCAGGTAAAATGTCCCAGTTCTGGTCTTTAATTTACTTGGTGTCTCATTATGTTCCTTTTGTTTCTCTGTTATCAAAATAACTGGGACATGGTTTTGCATTTTCTATGATTTACCTGATGGTGTATGCACATTTTCAGGGAACCACTAATAACAAATATCATGTGGAGGAACCTGCTGATACAGGTACGTTTTAGTGTTTGGTGTTATTCTATCTATCTTGTCAATATTAACACTTCAAATTGCTATAAATTTTCTGCTTAGTTTTTTTTTTTTTTTTCCAGTCACTTAACATACAATAACGGTAACTGTTGATTGTGGTTTCTAAAATTTTAGGCAGCATATCAAGTGACCGTGCTGCTTGTCCTTAATTTTCGAGGAGAGAGTTTACTAGGTTTGGAGCATGAGACCCCTCAGCATGCGATCGAAGTGAAGAATACCTTGATATTCAATGCATTTGTGCTCTGTCAGGTAAATCTTTTAACTGCTCTTAATAAAATGAAGGAACAAACAATTAAAATGATTCCAGTTAAATTCCATTATAGCATTGCTGTATGATTTGGTTGTTGAGAGTTCCTAACTACAAGGCATGATAAGGGACTAATTTTTTGAAATGCAGATCTTCAACGAATTTAATGCCCGGAAACCAGATGAAATCAATATTTTCAAAGGGATTTCAAAAAACCACCTATTCATTGGTATAATTGGAATAACACTTGTACTCCAGGTAAGAGCAGTTATATTAGCCCCTCTTAAATTCTTCAATGCCCTAGGTTCTGGGCCTTTTTTGTCCTGTCCATGAACATTAATAATACTATTTTTTTCTCGTGTGTGTTTTTATAGGTAATCATAGTTGAGTTCGTTGGAAAGTTTACTTCTACCGTCAAGCTTAATTGGAAACAGTGGCTGATTTCAGTTATTATTGGTTTTATCGGGTAAGTGAAGTGAAGTGATTTTCTTCAAATGTCATTTATGAATATGGCGTAAAAGGCAAACACGAGATATCCTTTCCAGAAAACATTTCTCTTACCATTTAGCTCATGTTTGCATGTCTGAACTCTAGTTTTTTATTTTTATTTTTTCTGTCCAATCAGCTGGCCGCTTGCTGCTCTCGCTAAACTGATACCTGTTCCGCAAACTCCTTTGCACAAGTTCTTTACAAAGATGTGCAATCGACGTGCCAAGTCTTCCAAGTAAGAGTCTTTCGATATTTGTCTGTTCATCTTTCCTTCGTCAAGTGGGCAGCAATTTAATTTGACATACCAAGTCTGATATTTCTCAATTAATGTCTTTCAGGTCATCAGTAGAGGTCACTAACAATTCACAGCACAAACAACGACCTGCATAATGTAAATTTACTAGCTTGTCAGCACTCTCTCCATTTTTGCTTCGTAGGATGATACAGATCTACACTGATGGCGACATGCTTGTGAATAAATGCTATCACCGGTGTTTTTTGTTTTTTTTTTTCACTGATCGCTTCATGCTTCAGTTCTTATTAGCGAGGGTTGTTTAGGGGAAAAACCGGTGCCTTTATTTTTGCTTGGTAAATATTTTTCCACATAGATTGTGTTTACATGTATGAAATGTGTGGGGAATCAAATGCGGTGAGGACACTTGGATCTGAAACACGGTTTTACAGTTATACCCATGTTTGGCTGTAGTAAAATAGGGGATAGCCCAATATTTTATTGACGCCATAATTCTATTTGTTGGTTCTGATTAGGGTTTCTTTGTTTTGTTAATTTTCTAAAATATGGTTGGATTATTGATGATGAAATAGGAAAAGTTACTCATCTTTCTCTAAGTTACTCATCAATTTTCTATAACCAATTGATCCAAACTATTTAAACCCAAATCCTTTCAAACTCTCACAAATCTCTCCTTTTGAAAGTCTTCCCTTCGAATCTCATTGTTTCTCTGTTGCTAAAATTCAAACACTTAAATCTCTCATTTCAGCTTTCAAGTCCTTCCTTTTAAATTTGCACTGACTTCGAGAAACCCATGAACCAAAGATTAACAATATTCGACCACTACAACGCTTTCCCTCAAATCACGACACGTCTGGACCTACAAGTAACCCAACAACCATACCATCGATAAACCTAACACCAGCCACCCACCCACAAAAAGGAATAAACATGAAATGAGTGAAAGTCGGGGTTTCCATTTAGATGCGAAGCATTAGTTTAGTTGGGAGTAACGGATGGAAGAGACTTGAAGAGTGTTTCGTCTCTCTTTTGAAATTCACAAATTGTTGTCTGTCATTTATCATTTGATTTCAAAGGATTCAATTGTAATTTTATTTTATTTTTATCTTGAAAAAAAAATAAGTGACAGAAAAGTCACTGTAAAAATATATTAAAAAAATAAAATAAAAGGACATGAAGAAAATCCACAAAAAAGGCGATAACATCAATAAAATATCAGCATAGTCATGAAGTTATATTTGGTGCGGTGGGGTTCCCCGAGAAAATTGGTAAGGACACAATATATGATCCTTTTGGTTTGTGTTTTTGCTTCAATTTAGGAATAGAAAAGAAAAGGGAGAAGATTCTTTATATTCTTCGTGTTTAAACATACTGATAAATGACAACACAAATTCGTGTCTTGAGATGAGCTTCAATGGAGTCAAATATCACTTGGCATTTCCTGGATCCTAGAGGAAGTAGCAAATTCGTGTCCATCCACGATCCATGCCTCGGAGACCCATAAGATGCTCAGGTTACTAAAGAATTGACATAAGAAAAGAATCAGCACTCTGTTGTTGTCAAAAGGGATACTTGTTGATGCAGGAGTTTTTTTTATAGGAAAATTGATATTTTTTTTTGTTTATTTTATATTTTCCTATTCTTTTATGATATTTTTCTAGCCTCTTTTTTTTTCTATTTAAAAGGAACATTCTTCTTTAGTATTATTAGAGTTTTTTATTTTTTTTTATATATAAAAAATATTCTAATAGCTTTTTTCGATGTAAGAATTATTTCATTCAAAAATTACTTACACTGTTAAATGATATTCAATATATAATTTATATAATTTTTTTATCATGTATTTTCAAGTAAAAACTCCTTAATCCATGTTATTTTGTATTTAATTTTTTATCAAATAAAATAGAAATGATGAAATTTAAACTCGTGATTACTTAGTCAATAAAGTTCTGATATCATATCAAAGAATCATTTAACTCAAAAGTTTAAGTTATTAATTGAAAAGCCAAAATATAATTTATATAATTATTTAACATTAGCTATTAAAGATATGGATGAATATAAATTAAATATTTTGATTGACTCCCTACATTAATAGTGTTTTTGGTTTTTTAGGATCTTGACTTATAGCCATCCTTTTATCCAATACTTTTGTTGTTATCATAGCCCAATAATTCTTGGTTATTATTTTACTTTGTTAAGTACTACAAAACAACCATGGCTGAAAAAAAACCTGACAATCCTTGATAATAATTTTGTTTTGTTGTGTGATATAAAACTATTATATTAACTTTTTTTATATATAAAAATACATATTTTATTGGGTAATTTTAATTCTTTATTCTTTATTCTTTATTATTATGCTTTTCTAGTTTTATTCCTATTTTCATTTTCATTTGTTTTCTATATCCTTTCCCTCTGGTTGTCGTAGCAGTATAAATCACAATTATTAAACTTAATTTGGGTTTATCTAGGATCAACCTTGCATGGGTTTTAAAAAAAATATTCGATAGTTGATCCAATTAAAAATCAACTATAACACATGACATAATTTACTCGCTAAAAAACAAAAACATTCCAAAACCATACTGTACTGACTTAAAAAAATAAAATTAAAACTATATTATTTCAATCAAATCGAGTACTCAGACTTTGGTACGGTTTTCATTGTAATGGCACAGATAAGATTCCAATAGGGAGTCCTTAATTTCTTCTCCTGCTTTGAAAATTGCAATGACAATTACCCTTGAACCAATCACCAGATTCAAACCGGCACTAAGGCCCTTTCCGTTGGTAGCTGTCATAATTTCTGTGGAGAATTTTGACAGACATGGGAGGAGGAAGATGATGAGCCAGCTCATATCCATGTCGTTGTCAGGAGTTGCATCCCTCTGTGCATAAAATAATCAAATAACCGAACCGTGTTCCTTGTCTTCGTACGGAGATTGTTAGTGTTTCTCAGCAACTATAATTTCTTATTCCGCATATATTCGTAAGCTTACTCTCGTCATTGTGTTTTTATAATATTAAAAGGCTTGAATTTAATGAATTGTAGTAGCTTAAGAAATCTTGAGCCTTCTAATTAAAAAAAAAAACAAAGAATTTTATATATATATATATATTCTGTAAATGCAACTTTATAAAACATTCTAGTACCTTTCCATTACTTTCATTTTGCTGAAGTTAGATTCAAGGAGAAGATATGATTTGACATAAATTTTCATTTAAGATCATGATCTTATGGGTAGACTTCATTTTTTCTTCCTCTTCTTCCGTAAACAAATTATTGCTGTGAATAAAGAAAAGAAAGAAGAATACAATTTTGTTTTTAATCGATCATAGAATGACAATATCCTTTCTTAGGTGTTTTATCCTAATCCTTCTTCACAATTGCTCTTCCGTGCCTTCTGAACTTGTTTCTTCTCTTCCCATGAACATGCTCACACGCAATAGCTATCTTTCTTTTTTCTTTTATAGTTTAATGGTTTGACTCTCGAGATGCTCCATGGCAGGTCTCAACATGACTCTTAATTTATCCTAAATCTAATCTTAGTGCATTTAAATACCTCGAATATGGTATCAATTTAACCACCACAACCCGAGTCCTAAATAAATTTTAATTTTTTTTAAAATCAATTTATTTTTTGTTTCAAGAGTATTAAAAACTTGTTGTAGATTTTTATTTATTAGAAAATGAAAAGGAAATTCAAATCTTGTTTTTTTTTTTTGTTTTAAAATTCATAACAATAACAAACAACCCTTTAAAGATCCACAGCCATAAAGACACAGACAAAGGTCAACAACCAACCATGGATTATGTTCAATTGTAAATTGACAAGTTCTTCACCCTAAGAGATAGGTTTAGATTTGGGTTTAGTGAGCGATTAAGGAGGCTAATTCTCTCTTCTTTAACTATTAATTAATACTAATCGAACCTTGGACAACATGTAAAGGTTGTTCTTTCTGCGAATGTATCATGTCGGTATAATGTTTATATTCACGAGATGGTCAAGGGAGAGGACTTTAAATCTTAATTAACAAAAAAAAATCAGTCTCAACTAGCAAAACATTATAAAGCAATATATCTATGATTGATTAAAGGTTAACACCATAAAAATAAAAATAAAAAGCACCATCATCATCATCATCGTTTTCTTCTTCTTTAAGTAGTTAAATAATAAAAGCATCTTCTTATTTTAATGGAATAAAAGCATCTTAATTAAACAACAAGAAGTCTCACCTCACCTTAATTAGCTTGGCCGCCTGTTATAGCAGACATTGAAATTAACCAAATATCCTTTAAAACCCCACGATCCTTCATATAAAACTACAACCATCGATCTTTGTATAAGCTACTTCTCTTATCAATCTTGCAGTATCATAATCCAACTTGAAATTAAAAATAAAAATAAAAAATGGATTTTGGTTGTTGGAAGGGAAGGGAAGATAAGGGTTGTTTATATGCTGATCACCCGTCACCATGTGCCATCAAGAGCCTAAGAAAACTGTGCGGTTCACTACACATAATTAATCATGTGTACATCTACATCATGATCATTAATTAAATATTAATTCCTTATAGTATTAGTGATATCAATCTCTAATCACAAAAATCAAATATGTTATCTAAATTAACTCAGTGAACATTTGAAACTTTAAGAACTAGTTTTCCAGTTGTTTGAATGGAGAAATAATATTGTATTTAAATAGAAAGTTTCAATTTTCCTTTGTTTGATTCATTTTTCTAAAACAATCGAAGTATTACTCTACCTATAAACATCTCTTATACTTCTTGATCAATTCCTCTTTTTTTTCTTTCTTTTTTTTATGTTCTTAGTCGGTTTCTTCATTAATTATTTCAAGTGATAATATTAAATAAGTACCCCAATAATGACACGACTTTCATTTACATCCCCCAAATATGGACTTAAGCAATGCCTAATAGTTTCCCATATACTCCGGGCATGAAAAATTAAGTTATTTATATATAATTCGAGCTATTTCAAAGATACTTTAATAACATCTTGAAAATTGTGTCTGGGATTTTATAAATTACAAGTAATGATGAAATATTAACATATTTTAAATTAAGCGTGTCATAGTTTATCTTTGATGTCTGTACGAGACAAGGAAATATTTCTAAAGAGATTTCTCAGTTGAAAGTAATAGCGGTGTAGCATTAGTATTGATAAGGTGGATTCGTTTAGGATAGCATGCCTGGTTAAGCCGTAGTTCGGGGATGTAATTGAGAGTCTCATCATAGTTGAGGGACTCATTTGAATTTATCCTCTTTTTTCCATTAATCGGAAAACCAATTAGGGATTCAAGTCAAGAGAGATATAATGACAAGAAAGGGAACGAGATTGGTGGGTAGTATGTGGCCCTCAACATAAAAAAATAAAAAAACGTTATTGAAAAAAATAAAATATAGAAAATAAATGCAAGAAAAAGGTTGACTTCATAAAAAGGTAAAGATGGCCACGCAAACCCTAGCAATACGGCCTTGTACTTCCGAAGACGTCAGTCCCTATTTTTACCTCGCTCACCATCATCCTCCGTACGTCCTTTATTGTGATATATTAATTGCTCTTGGGTCTTAAATCTGCTCATCAAAAGACCCCAGAAAAACACCATTGCATGCCCTTCCCCTTCCCCTTCTCTTTCTTGTTCTTGTTTCTTTGTTCTATGATATAACCACCAGTACTCCATCAAATATCTTATCTTCGAATCATTCTCATGTATTTGTTGTGTGATTCAATGTTGAAAAGATGATGTATGAACAGATACAGCAGCAGCAGCAGCAGCAAATGATGAATAGGGTAGATAGAAGGAAGGTTATGGGAGAGAGAAGGAAGGCAATCGAGGAAGAAGAAGTTGATTTGAGTGGTATGTCTTTGGAGACTATACCTAACCCTTCACTCAATTTAGCCGCTATTTGCAAGCTTAACCTCTCCAACAACGATCTTCAGGTATATTTTCTCAACCTACTTGAGCGAATATGGATATATCCCAACAAATTTTCTGTTGAAGTGCAAAAGGAAACCTTTCTTGAGGTCAAGTCAAACAAAATTTTGATTGATATCAACACAAAATTTTTGTATTATTTTTTGTTTTTGATAAAAACACGGCTTTTTTGTTGTTAATTTGATTTTCCTTTTTATGGAAAAAAACGTAGCTTTTGTTTTTTTTTTTTTAATAGCAATCATTTCATTTGGAGTTGGTGAATCAGCACGACACCATTTTGAGTTTAAATCTAGTGATTAAAAATACTATTAATTTTCGAAAAAGAAAAGGAGAATTTTCTGGGGAAAAAAAGGAAAAGGGAAAAAAATCTTATTATCAATTATAATCATTCTTCTTCTTCTTTTTTTAATTCCAATGAAAAAAAAAGGAAGAGAAAGCTTATATTATTTTGTATGTTCCCCCACTCTGTTAAATTTGGTAGATATTTCTTGGACCATTTATCACTCTCTCTATTCAGTCATACGTATCTCTTAAGATTTCTACTAAATATTGGTCTTTATATATATATATATATATATATGTATGTATGTATGTATGTATGAAAAAGTTTTTATTCAAATATTTCTTTGGGTTTTAATCTCTCACCTATTACTCTCTCTTGGATCTCGAACAATTAGTGAGTTTTTAATTCTATAGTTAAGCATTCAACACCCAGCACAAGCAAATATGTAGAGGAATATATGTAGTAGCATATTGCTATATGTTTATTTCATAATTATTAGTTTTAATCAACTAGGAACATGATCATATAATGTTTCTTTGACTTTTATAACATGTACACTTGAATAACTCCACTGGCCAGCTTACAACGGAACCAAGCTAACAAATCGAGAAATTTATTTCTACATTCGACAGATGATACCAGAATCCTTAACAGCAAGAATGCTAAATTTGGTGGTGTTGGATGTTCACTCAAATCAGCTCAAATCTCTCCCTAACTCAATTGGGTGCTTGTCAAAGCTCAAAGTTCTTAATGTTTCATGCAACCTTCTTGTGTCCCTTCCCAGAACCATAGAGAATTGCAGGT